CAGCCATGGAGCTGGCACAGATGGTGACACAGGCCATGTGGAGTAAGGACTCCTACCTCAAACAGCTGCCGCACTTCTCCAACGATCTCATCAAGAAGTGCACTGACTCGGTACGTACAACTATGGGACTGTCAATCACAATTAGTACTTCAACCAGTGAGAGAATGGCAGTAACTGCTTTGACCAATGAGAAACCGGCTGCATGTCCATCAAATATTAGCACTTTTTACATTTTTATTCTGCATTTCTACATTTTGGAGGTGGGCTATGAAATACAGTATACCTCACCTAGGATACAGTGTATTGCATATCTTTAAGAGTGGGGCATGAAGGCTAAGGTATTGGCTTTTTGTTCTTACATGTACAAAATTTAGGTTAATCTGTTAAACTTAAAGTCTTAGGTTTAGCTGTAAGTCGTATAGACAAAAAATACATGAATTTCTAGCTCACCAGCTTTCGTTGAAAGTCCTGGTCTGGATGGCCCATGTTTATGGTAAAACTATATACCTATATTTTCCCCTCCCAGGGCATAGAGAGTGTGTTTGACATCATGGAGATGGAGGATGAGGACAGGAACAGTCTCCTGCAGATGACAGACGCCCAGATGGCGGACGTGGCGCGCTTCTGTAACCGCTACCCCAACATCGAGCTGGCGTACGAAGTCATGGACAAAGACAACCTGCACAGGTATTACTGACACCTTTTTTTTTGTCCAGTTTGTACACTATTTTAGTAAGCTGTAAGAATGGTAGAGGGACTCAATTTCAACCAAAGTTGATATGTGTTTACCTCAGGACAAGTAATGTTTTGGGTGGGTGAGTTGTGGGCTTTTGTCTCTGCTTGTCCTAACAGCTTTGGTTGCATGGTGGGTGGGAGGAGATTTTGACAGATGATTGGTGAGATGGCCACTACTCAAGGTCACATAGCATGACGTTGTTGGGGGGGGGGATTTCAGTAGGTGGTATGTAGGGGAATTGAGGAAGTTGTGTTAATACCTGATAAAGTGTTGCATCATTCTATCTCCTCACAAAAACCACTTCCAACAGGTTTGTGAACTTGTCACGAAAACTCATGAAAACTTCCCAGAAGTCATAAATTTGTTCATTTGTCCTTGGATACACTTGTTATTTCCCCTGACCTATGAAACGCTGTTTTCCCCCAGTGGCTCCCCTGTAGTGATGGTGGTGACGTTGGAGAGAGAGGACGAGGCAGCCGGACCAGTCGTCGCTCCCTTCTTCCCTCAGGTACGGGCATGGTTCACTAACAAAGTCTGTTTAGTACATACCTGTACACCTACCTAGTCCCATGAAAGACACGGGTTAATTGGGGGGGGGGGCAAGGCAGACCTTACAGCAGAGGTGATGCCAGATTCTCCTGTCTTGGGCTGCTGTCAGGAGTATATGTATGTGTACAGTCAAACCTGTACAGGGGACCACCTGTACTAAAAGACCAATATGACCACTTTTTGGCAGTTCCTTAGATAATTTTTCCCATTGACACAAGCATTAAGAAGCGACCACCTCTTCACAAAGCCTAGTTTTATTGGTCCGCCAAGTGGTCTTCTTGGGCAACTTCTACTGTATCTCTTTGTGACCGCCGTATTTGTTGTAGCTTTCAATCTTTAGATGCCTCGACTTTTTTCTGTACAGGAGAGCTATCCATATTCAGATAGTTATGAAATTAGTCAGAATTATCCTGCATTAGGTTAAAACAGTACCCCTAGTAAATGATTCGTGTATGTAGAAGGAAGACTGTATGACTACCCCAGAGTGCGTTCCACTTCTGTACCTTCCTGTGTACTGAAGTGAGATGAAGAAGGGGTGAGACTAAACTGGAGGTCACGAGGGTGGTCCTGGCTGTACCGTGCCATGGGTCTGTCCTGTACCTATCCATATACATGTATTTACACTACAAACAGTCACAGTTGTTGGGGCTCGAAACACTCGGTATATGCAGGTTAGTGTGGTTTAAATCGGAGCTGTGCAGGTATTTCTGATGTCTACCTACACCTGTCTATGTACTGGGTGTATATTTATTATCATACACATTTAGGTGTACATGTATTTGCACCTGGTAAAATCTGGTCTAATGCTTGTGTCAATGGAACAGGATTCTTAATGCTTGTGGCAATGGGAAAATTACTAGTATCTAGGGCCTGAGGTGATCACTAAAGTACAGGTTTGACGGTATCTGAAAATCACATGGACATATTTCTTAATTTGAATTACACTAAGTAGTACTAGTGGAACAGCATAATGACCAACAAAAAAATGGTATCAAGAACTCCTATATGTATGTTCTGGATACCTTGGCATGTAATGGTTTTTATTTTGTGTTTGTTGCAGAAACGTGAGGAGGGCTGGTGGGTGGTGATCGGAGACAACAAGTCCAACAGCCTCATCTCCATCAAGAGGCTGACCTTGCAGAACAAGGCCAAGGTCAAACTGGACTTTGTGGCACCATCTCAAGGTCAGTATCAGAATAAAATTTATGGAAGATTCAAGCGTTAAGCTTTTATGTGTACACAGATGGTCCATTTTTTCTCAAACGATTCTTAAGGATTCTTAAAATTCAGTGCAGTTTTTTGTGCTTATTCTAGTCAATATATTAGTCACTGATCTACATACTAAGTTCTTGGGGCTTGTTGCTGGAGTTTTAAAGGAGTACTAACCTCCAGAAGGAGGTGCTTTATTTCAAAAGGCATTTATTTTTGGAAGTGAAAAATGCATATTATTTTACAGTATACAATTAAATGCCCATTTTGCGCGCAAGTTTTAAAACGCATCGAATCCAGGACAAACTCTCGAAATACCCTCAAAACTATCCCAGAATACACCACGCTACCCCATTGGTGTCTATGTTTTAAACAAAAAGTTACGTTACAGACCTCATTTCGGGGGCGATAAGAAAAATTCGTACCGTTTTGTGTTCTTTGGTATCTTACCAACCATTGCCCTTCTTGGTGTCCTTATCGCCCCTCATTTATGCCGCAAATATTGACGATGAAAAAAACGGCGTAATCTAGTTATCCTTTCCATAAGTGGCGTAATCTAATTAACAGTTCAAGTAATATTTACATGCAAATAAGTTGAGAAAATCAAAACGCGCAGGATGAAACTAGCGCCCACTGCATTAGACATCCTGATATTATACTTATAGTATCCAAACCGCAGGTCAAGCAAAGTAAAGCGAGTAATTTCTCAATAATCAGCTTGTTAATGTGCTTGTCTCCTACCATTTTCGTCCAAAAATGTTTATGTTGACCTGAGGTGTATGAGTATTGCGTAAGCCAGAGTTCCCGGATGTATCAATTGTGGTTCAGCATGGGGGAAAATGATATTAATATCACTTTACAAACATGCGCCGCGCAAGTCGTACAAGCGAAATTATGTAAAAAGTCGGCTAGTTATGTATTCATTGCAGCAACATGTATCAAAAAACAGCACCTCCTTCTGGAGGTTAGTACTCCTTTAAATGAGTATGAAATACTGATTCAAACGTGCTAATGTGGGACAGTATGTGTTAATATCATACATATTGCCTTATTAAGAATATTTGCAGTTTTGCCATCCTGACATTCTAACATTGCATTGGATGTCTTTAAAGATTTCGTATTGGCGGCCTAACCCATGTCACCGTTGTTGTTCCCAGGGACCCACACCTACACCCTGTACTACATGAGCGATGCCTACATGGGCTGTGACCAGGAGTACAAGTTCAACATCAACGTTGGAGAGGAGGCCAGTGACATGGACAGTGACTCAGACTAGACTCACAAATGTGCACAAATTTCACCGGCTGGTACCAGGCTTGTTAGGACGACTTTGTATAATTTTTCACCAGAAGAAAACTTAGTGACGGATGCCAGGATAGACACAATGTCTATTGTCATTATGAAGCAAGTTTGAAAGTTGTAATTTCCAACACGCAACACAAGAAATTGTGCTTACCCAATCACCAGTCTTTTTCAAGGAATTAGCAAGATGTGTAATGTCTTTATCATGTATGATAAAAATTAAGTGATACAAGTACACAAAGTAATATTTAGTAGTACTAGTATTCCATACTATAGAATCTCTGTCTTATATTACATACTTACAGTGAAACGTTGGGACCTGTTACAGAATATGGTAAAGAAGGTAGTTACAGCTTGCCTATAATGATGCAATTGTGTACAAAAAGTCCTTCCTAGCCTGAAACACTGAAAAGCATGTTTTAAATGCAGGATTTGGGGCATTATTCTGTTAACCATGGGGAACCTTCTTTAACTATTTTCACTGCTTTTTGGTAACATCTTTAATTACATCATGATACATGTAAGAACCCTGTGTATATATTCACCTTGCTGTTATAATAAATAGTGATTTTAAAACACATACTTAAGAAATGTTGTGTTGATGGAAATATAAATCATGAGGATATGTGAAGAACACTCTAAGCAGAAACCTTGTTAGGTACATGTACAAGAAAAGGAGAAGAAAATGATAAGACATTGCTACTTAAAAACCTTAATTTCAATTTATTATAGTCCAAGGTGTGAAGTAGGGATGTCAGATTTAACGCTGACAGTCCATTTTTGGTTTGTACAAATAAAATGTCAAACGAGTCAATGGTTGTATGCCTCTTTGACTGGAAAGATTAACCATACAAACACAATCCAACAGACATTTGCCCTGTTAGTAGTACATGTAGGTTAGTTAGTCTATAGTTAGATATGAAGAGGTATAGAGGAAAATGTAACAGACAGTGATGCTAGAGAATGTCATGATATTATGACAGATATATCAGATGATATTTATCTAGCTGAAGGTCCAAGCAAATTTAGCTTGAAAATTTTAACATCAGTTACATGTACATGTACAATTAATGCCCCCCTACATATGTACATTTACAAGTTAGCACAACTTCTGCTCCTGTATGGTACACACATGTTGAAGAGCACAAGAGTCTGTAAAGTCCTTTGCTTGCAACAGAATCCCTGTGATGGTAAAAGCTTCTTTCCTCCTTTTCATAACCTCCCTGCTTCTACATTTTTACAAAACTACACTATTCTTCCTCCTTATATCTCCATATCTTGACCACACCGTCGTCGCTACATGACGCCAGCAGCCCTGGTTCTTTAGGGTTCCAGGCGACACAGTTGACGTCCTGTGAGTGGGCCTGCTCTGCCGTGGCAGCGAGGCTGAACTCTGGTTGGTTCCTCCTGTCCGGCGCGCTCTCGTCCTCCCGAAACACGCGGATACAGTCATCACCCGAGGCTGTGGCTAGCAGGCCGGTCTGGTGACACCTGGAACAATCATCGAGATCCTGTTAATCCTGAATGTTTGCAAAAAAAATAATAATAATACAACTTCTACTGGAATAATTTAATGAAGGTTAGACACCCAGAAAATTTAGCATGATACGTATTATGGAAATACAGTACCAATCCCAGTACTTTGATATGCACATACATGGTAAAATTCTCGTCAGCCACACCCGGACACACAAGGACTGAAGTTGGGGTCATCATCGACTACGATGGACGAACATCATCACATGGTAAAATTCTATTCTAGGGCACAGTTCACAGCTAACTAAGTAAAAAAAAAACAGCTACTTATAGTATATATTACTGCACTTCCAACCCACCATTTGACATCATAGACCGTCCTCTTGTGGTAGCCTGACAGAGTACAAACACACTTCCAGGTGGGGTCACTGCCTGGCGTCTGGATACCTGCAAGGAAGGAACATTCAATTTCAAATAATTACAAACATTAATAAGTTACTCAGATACAAGCATACAGTCAGCCCTATATACTGTAATTCACAATTTTTTCATGGTACTTAATGTTCACAGTGACTTCTGTTCTGCAAACTTATTGCAGGAAGGGTGGAAAAAAATAAGCAAGCTGGTTCATGGTTTGAACTGCACAATGTGCTGTGTGACGCAATGTGGATAAGTTAAACAGGTATCAAGCATTGTCCAGACAACAACTGTTTACATCTTAGGGGCCTTCACTGTCAAACGGCTTACACTGACCTTCCTCGTTCCCTGGCGCGTACTCCTGCCAGATCTTCAGGGTCTTGTCTTCGCTGCAGGAGGCCAGTCTCTCTCCCGACTGGTCAAAGCAGACGCCCCAGACGGTGGAGTCATGTCCCTCCAGGGTGGCCAGGCAGTCCCAGTCATCGTCTGCCTCCCGGTACAACTTCACAGTGTCGTCGTAACTCGCAGACGCAAGGATCTACAGATGGAGATACTTCTTATTGAAGGAACACTCCAAGTACAATTTCTTGTTAATGAAAGGGTCTATAAGCCTCTCGGTACAACATGACGGTGTTGTCGTAACTCGCAGACGCAAGGATTTACAGGGATAAAGGAGGACATATACAAATGTATATCAGGACACGCCAGCCTTCACTAAACAGAGACGGTGGATGAGATAAAAATTATAAACTCCCTGGCACATTTGATCAACTGCTGACATCATGAATCCGTAAAGTCTTGTGTGACTTAGGTCATGTGTACATGTCTGTATGTAACTAACCCTTGCTCTCGTGGGTTTAGATTTGGAAGACGGTGTGATTGGTCAAATTACTTATCCTAAAGTGAAAGTGGTCATTGAAAATTTGATCCTTGTGTGTCCTTTATGTTGGAATAAAGTTCAACATCATACTATGATTACCAGAAAATACAATGATAAGCAGAAAATACAAGTGAAGATGTCCCACCTCCTTGTGTGGGTGCCAGGTGACATGTTTGACGTCCTGTGTGTGTAGACTCAGCACACTCGCACACTCATAGTCCTCATCCTCACTCACTGCAGGGGAGAAAAATTAATCAGAACATTGGGACAGGCCTAAAACACAACATTAAAAAGACAGGACAATGGCATGGGCTTACATTACATGTGACTTTGTGGTTGCTATTTGTGTGCAGCAGTCACGTACTGAATGTGAGAGTGAGAAAAGCATCATCATGTTTTAAGTCTAAAGAACTGTCTGATGAAAAGTTAATAAGGAAGAACACACATTTGTTCTAAACCCCTTTAACTGTTGTGAATGTTGCACTGTTTATTTGCATATGTGCTCATCAATCAATCAATCTACCAACTAACTAATCAAATGTTTTCGTAATTCCTACTTTTTTCACGGTACTCCTTTTGTGTTCACGGTTTTCACAGTCACTTTTGTATCTAAGAAATCATCATTAGTGTAATACTTGTCTTTCGCCCTCTTCCCCTGCCACTGTTCCGTAAAGATGTCCATTTTCTTCAGACATTTTGCTGACAGGAAATTTTGCTACCATGAAGACATTTTAGTTAGTTACAGTTTTCCAGCCTTGTTAGCTTTTATCTGCTCCCTAAGATCCGCTACATACTGTTGGCGGGATAGTGGATCTTCGGGAGTGGACTGAAGCTAACAAGGCTGGATTCAAGCTCCAAGCTAAGTTATGTAGTATCCCCACCTTCCCATATCCAGACACTCTTGTCCCTGCTGCAGGTAGCGATCAGCTGACCGGACGGCGACCAGGCCACACACTTGACCTCGTTCTCGTGTCCCTCCAGCGTCGCACCGCACTCGTAGTCGCCGCTCTTCCGGTCCCAGACGCACGTGGTGGCGTCGAAGCTGCCGGACGCCAGGTACGTGCCGCAGGGCGACCAGCAGACGGACCGGATGGTGCGGGTGTGGCCGTCCTCCAGCACCGTCTTACACACCCAGGACTCTCCTGGGTATGGGGTTGGGTGAAAGGGGTAAAGCAGTCGATTGACTTTGGTTCTCTTGATCCTTGTTTTGTGGTGAAAATTCAAGTAAATAAAAGAAAAATTTCCAACTAAGGTGAAGCATGATATTGATACTTTGAAGCATGATCCTTTTTCAAGCTACTACTCGTGCAAAATTTGTTGAAATATTATATCAAATTATTTTCGTCACTTTCCCATGGGTGCTTTTTGGAGCATTTTCATATTTTGGCTTTTCTGATGAAGCAAGTATCATCTCATTAATCAATAGTGTTTGCAGAAGAGCACTGTAGTTTGGTGAAGTTATTCAAGACACCAATAAGTTTTAGATGCTTGTTCGTGTAAGTTGTTGCTTCCAGTTAGCCATCTGGAATTTATATGTGTATTGTGGAATGTGTATTGTGGAATGTGTATTGTGGAATGTGTATTACAAGGAATGTTGGAATGGGTTCATGTTCCTCATTCCTTTTTGGGGCCGACTTGTCCTGAAACCGTTGGAAGTTAGTTACTAGTACTACTAGCTAGTCCTGCTACCAAGTAGTACGTAACTAGTAGACTCACCCTCCCTCCCCCACAGCCGGATGGTCTTGTCTCCGCCGGCAGACGCGAGGACCGTTCCTGCCGGGTTCCAGGCGACGGTCCAGGCCCTGTCCTGGTGACCCTCCAGTACCGCCACCTCCTCCAGACGCGCACACATCCTGGAAACGTCTCAGATGTGGGAAAACTTTGGGTAAAACTGCGTTGAAATTAAAACCGAATTTTCAAGACCTGGGCGCAGCCATGTTTTAGCACAGACGAATGATGGGAAATTTTGGTACATACCATTGTGTGTGGGGATGTAAAGTTATTCTGCAAGTAAAATATAATCATTTTCAGCAAATCTGACAATATTATGAAGAAAACTTATTATACAAATATATATATCTGATCATTATATGCTAAAAATAGATATAATACATTCAAATATATTGATTATACAATATCATTTTTACCAGTACCTCCCTAAATAGACAAGTAGAATCTCCCTAGAAGTGGGCGGGGATTCGAAACCAAGTTTCAGGATTCAGCTTGTTGCTATTTTACAGATATTCATTTTACCTGTGTATTCCGGACGTTACAGCGATGCCCCGGTGTCCGATTTGCGACGGAGAAAACTTTGAGGAGATTGACGGGCGGTATTACTGCGACGAATGTCATACAGAGTCACAGGTGCGACATTTTGTGTTTTTAAAAAGTTACAAATTACATCAATGAGCTCGAAGTATTTTGGCAATGCAATGCCTAATATTAGATGTAAACAGTATCTATAAGAGAGACCTACATGTGTAATTGACCTTTATGTACGAGTACTGCATAGGTCCTGTACTTTATTAACACCATTAACGTTCATACAATTATTCAAGTACAAATGATTATAATCTTAGCCTGGTTACCAGAATTGTAGCTCCCGAGTCCTTCATCCTCTCTCTGCCAGTGTGGGAGAGCTGAGAGAGGATGTAGGACTCGGGAGCTACAATAGGTCAGGTAACCAAGCCAAGTTGCTAAGTTGTATAGAGAAGAATGAGGTGATGGTATATGTGTATTCTCCACAACGTCTGTAGGATGTCAGAGAGTTGCAACAAGAAGCAGGATATGTGGACCCTTCCCTCAGGACACGTCGACTCAGAGAGACAGGCACTCCGACAAAAAAAGGTTTGATCATCACAAGCTTTTTTTTATTACCCACTATACTAGCCTCCGGTGCAGACTTCTAGCGGGGCAGCAGTACCCAACTAGTATCCAGCCGTTAGCCAATTTCCTTCAGTAGCCAACTTGGCTACTGAAGGAAATT